TGTTCTTCGAATTCTTCATCGCTATCGGTATCTGCTCTGAGTGAGAAAATCGAAAAAACATGTGTCCTTCTTCGTTCTTCTCGAGATTGGACGATGAGCATGTGCATTTGCTTTCAAACAATTCAAGCCTCGCCGTCTGTCTATGATTGTGCAATGTCTATGCGACGGATCTGGCAGCTATCCTGACTATTCTCATGTGTCTGCAGACGAATTCAGCTATGGTTGTGTTCATACATATCGTGGAAAATTTTTCACGCTGGAGTTTTATCAACTTTTATGGAGAAACACCCTACCCTAAGGAGGGGAAAACTCAAACGGGGAAAGGAAAAATTTTCACGCTGGAGTTTTTATCAACTTTTATGGAAAAACAAAAAAACAAAAGGGGAAAAACAAAAGCAAGAGAGAGCGACTCGTGCCGCCCATGAATATTGGAGAATCTGACACCTGAACACGACACATCATGATTATTACACACACACGCACAGAGACAAGAGAGAGAGAGAGAGAGAGAGAGAGAGAGAGAGAGAGAGAGAGAGAGAGAGAGAGAGAGAGAGAATGCCACTTCACGCCTCGTAGGCACCCTTATCATTACCGTATCTGACCCAAATTGTCACCTGTATAGACTCCAATGTATGCAGGTGATGATTTGGGTACGATACAGTCGTGATGAGGGTGCCTACAATGGTTACTATTGGTGGATTGGCTGTTCTCTCTCTCTCTCTCTCTCTCTCTCTCTCTCTCTCTCTCTCTCTCTCTCTCTCTCTCACACACACACACACACACACACATACACACACACGACTTTTTTTTTCGTTCGCACGTATACATGCACCACTCTCTGTGCATGGCGCACAATGCCCCGTAGCGGTGCACCACAACAACGGGTATCATTATATCATACATACTCCATGGTTTTGGGCAGTGAGCTCGTCTGTTCATGTTCTGGACACTAATGAGAGGAAGGCTTCATTTTTTTTTTTTTTTTTTTTTTTTTCTTGGAAAAACAACCCGAGGTGGTGATAGGGGTGCTTATAAGAGCAGACACCGCTCTGTCTCTTATACACATCTAGATGTGTATAAGAGACAAGTATGAGTCAAAGTCCTGTAACCCTTGGAAAATGATAGGTCCCCCTTGCAGCAGATTTGGTCCGTTTGCAGTCCTTGCCGTGCAGTTCACGTGNTTTTTTTTTCTTGGAAAAACAACCCGAGGTGGTGATAGGGGTGCTTATAAGAGCAGACACCGCTACCACTTTCGGGGAGGCTCCATCTATTGGTGGGGAGCTGCACCTGCTGGAAATCGGGTCCAGCGTCCCTGAACATCATGTTTCCTCTTTTACACAGACCCTTCATAATGTCAGCAGTAGCTGGACGGACCATCCATGACGGAGACAAATCGTGAATAAGGCCACACACCTACTCTGCGTCCTAAGCCATTTGCCCACAGGACAACTGTACTCAGGTGACCGTAGCCCGAGTCTGATGAACACCATTTCCTTTTATACTCATGAAGCTAAGCCATATCACATCTGTATGAGTCGCACTGTGTGTAGGCAAAATGACCTCCCATTCCCCATCCCCCACCCTTTGGAACGGTAGGCTCCGGTCCGTATTGAAGTCTTTGGTTCGTGTTGAACAATATGAGACTATATCAATTTTGTTTCGAGCGGCCGTTGTATGTGGGTGTCATTATATGTTGACCGGCTGACCTCCAATCCCCCAACCTCCCTTTGGAGCAGTAGTCGTTGGTCCGCTTTGAACATCATGTATCTGTGTTGGCTGTATTTTGAGTCTGTCCCTGGAAATAAGCTCTAAGCCCCAGGGACCGCGGCGGCTCCCATCTTCACAGATGACAGCAATCCGTAGCTTCTATAGCTTGAAAACAATCCTTCTTGAGTCTGGGAGCATATTGTAGTCTCCCAAACCCCTAACCCCTAAGCCCCGAGGACCGCGGCAGCTCCTTTCATCACCGATGACAGTGATCCACACTTTATGTAGCCGGCCACTCTTGCCGTGTTGATCCTCCGACCCCTGCCTAGGGTGGGTCTCTGGTCTGCGGCGCAGTTGCTCCTCGTCTGATGATCCGACGTCTCGAGGTCGCGTAGTTGCCCCCTCCTGCTGCATTGTGAAAGCATGTGAAAGGATGTCAGGCTGTTAGCAATGTGGGAGCGGGAGCTGGGTGGGGTGGGGCAGCGCTGGAGATAGCAGGAGGACAGACGGGAGAGGTCGTGTACGGGAGGTGGGTTGGGGTCCAAGGGCCGAGCAGAAAGTTGGTCGGCAGGAATGGGACCTCAAAGTCTTGCAGGGGGTTCCTCTGCCAGGTCAGCTCTCCTGCCCTCCAGTGTTTCCAGTGTATGCTGAGATCGTGTTGCAGTGAAGAGAAGAGGCAGTGGGGGTCTTGCCATATCTGGCAATACGATTCCCGAATAGCCTCC